AATCTAATTTAGTATTATTATAATACAAAAATTAACTTTAAAAATTTTACAAACAAATTTGCCTGCGTGACAATTTAAGAGATAAAAAAACTATATTGTTAATTGACAACTTGTGGTTTTATTTAATAAATTTTTTTTGCTTATATTATATTTTCTTTAATTATTTATTTTTTTATAGTAAAAAAAGATTAGTATAAATTAGAGTTGAAATAGTGTTTTTATTAAACCAAACTATTCAAACTTTTGATTAAATTTGAGTTTAATATAAATTTTAAACTAAGCTTAATTAGACTTTTTTTTAAAATTATATTTAGTTTGAGTTTGATTATAAATTTTTTAGTTAAGTCTGGTTTGATTTAAAGTTTGGTTTGAAGTTTGCAAACTAGTTTGGGTTTGATTATTTTTTATACTATAGACTAGTGTTGGTAATTTTTTGTAGCTAAGCAATTTTTTTGGCCTTTGGCCAGCCAAAATAGGTAATAGCCAATGGCCAATATTCAAACTTTGGTCAAAAGTTTTTAATTTATATAATATTAACAAATTATACATATCAGCAAATTTATGTAATTACTATTAAAAATTTTAAAATATTTTCTACATAATTACTATTAAAAATTTTAAAATATTTAACAATTCTAAAGAGCCCAAACCTACCAAAATCCAATTACTGAATTCCAAGAAAATTGCTAGTTTGTTTTCATCAGGTAAAATAGGATAGGTTAAACTCATTCTATTTTACCTGATATAAACAAAACATTAGTGATTTCAGGATTCGGTAATTGAATTTTGATGATTTTGGGCTCTTTAGAATCGTCTCACTGAGACAGTTATTTTGATGATAAAATTATCTAAAACGAACAAGTGGATCAAAAGTTATTCTTTGTCAAATATTTTAAAATTTTTAATAATAATTATGTAGATCTGCCGATATAATTACTAGCTTTGCTATATAAATATTTGGCTTTTTCAGGCCAATAAATTTTTTTGTCTAATTTGGCTAATAGCTATAACTATTGGCTAGCCAAATAGCCAAGTAATTACACTGCTATAGATATATTAAAGCCAAGTTGACCAAAGCTAATAAGCTGCAGCTTAAGCTATAATTTGAAGCTGTAGTATTTAACTATAGCTACAAATCGGCACTGTATAGCTTCTTAAATACTATATTCTTTAAAATCATTATTACTATAGCTATATAATAATATTTATTAATACATGCTACTATAGTATTATCTACTACAGCTTGAGTTATAGTTCAAGTTATACTATAGCCATAATACAAGTTGTGGCTTCAATAACTATGGCTTAATCTAGAGCTATGATTTTAAAAAGCTAACAGCTCTAAAAATTCTTAATAGGCTAAAATTGGTCTACAAAACTCTTTATCATATAATATTAAATTTTCACATAATATTTCAATTAAGTATTTTTATAACTTTTTTTATTTTATCAATTGAACGTTACTAATCAATATATTAATCAATTTCTTGTTTAAGTTTTTATTCAAAAAAGTTTAACACTTTTTTTGGTATATACTTGTTCTGATTGGCTAAAATTTATTATCTGTATTTGTGATATGCAAAATTACTATGGGAATTGCTTATAGTACTCTCAGTAGCTAGCTAACCATATCAAGAGCACTAGTCTCTAAGTTTAGTGATTATTTATTAGGATGAATCAAAGTTAAGTTCTAATTCTATTTTAAATTTTGAAATTAGAAAATGAAATTGGTATTATTTAGAGATAAAATGAGTATCTTATTAATTTCAGTTTTCGAGAATATCAATTGTATTTTTATAAATAATATTAGAATATTAGCACTTCTAAAATATTATTTATAAATATTAATTTAATTAATTATTATAAATTACAACAGTTATATTTTATAGAGTTTTTTATTTATGCAATCAAAGTATTGTATTTATATACTTTAAAATATATAATTTATTTTAAAACCAACTATACTATTTTAAAAAACATAATTTTCAAACCAAAATTTATACTGTGTTTACTCTCCGAATAATTAAGGACATAATAATTTCCATTTGGGATTTAGTTAAGTTTTTCTTTAATGAAAAGTATGATTATATTATCATTTTTTAATGGCGACGTCTATCTCTACGATCTCGGTCTCGATCTCGATCTCGACTTTCAATATCTCTATCTCGATATCTGTCATTTTCGTCTCTTCTAGACCTATATTTGTCATTGTCATTCCTACTAGACCCATACCTGTCACTGTCCCTCGTAGATCCATACGTGCTACTATCGCTCCTCCTGGACCCATGCCTATCTCTATTTTGGTCAGTCTCTTTATGATGATAAGAATCACGATGTCGTTCCTTGTCCCACTCTCGTTTATTATCTTTGTTAAATGCATCACCTACTTTACTTTTTTGAGCTCGTTTTTCCTTCTCTTGTTCAATAGCCTGTTTTTTTCTCTCTAAAGGATCGATAACCACATAATCATCCGGATCATCTCTTCTCTGCATTAAATCCTTACCTCTATAATCTTTTTCAAATACAAGACGATGTGATAACCATCCTTCATCTGTATCTTCTGCTTGTGGTTGTCCAAATGTATCTCGACAAGATAAGCAATTAGGAACAGAATGAAGCATACATAGTTCAGCATTCTCATTTATCGTTACAGGTTTATCATAATCAGGATCTGCTGTAAAAAGTTTGGACTGAAAATCTTTCAATTTCTTCAATGTCTAAAAACGAATAGAACATAAAAAATATCATGAGTGTTAAAATTTGAAAATAAGCATAAGTAAAGAATTGCACTACTCACCTCATCTTCGGATTTTTTCTTCCTTTTAGCTACAACAGCTTTTCCAGATGATAAATATTTTTGTCTTTCACCTTCCACAAAAGAAGTTTTTTGTTTTTTTTTCTTTGGCTCATCATCATCAGAATCTTTTGAACGTTCATTCAATTTTTTGATATCTTGTTTCACTTGTTCGATTTCTTTGCGTCTAGCATCCCTACAATATGACACTTGTACTATAAGACAATAAATTTTGAGAGATATATACAATTTAAAAAACATTATTCATTAATAATTGACTAACTTTTCAGATAATTGCATCTCGTTGTTATCCTCTTTGGTAGACTCTGATTTTATAGATTCATGATGTTGTCGAACATTTTCTTTCATCTTTCGATCAAATGTTTCAACAGAGTCCTCATCTACCATTTCTACTTTTCTATGTATCTTATCTTTAGTTTCTTTAAGTTTTGCCTAATAAACAATTGAATGATAAAATGTCAATTAAAAGTTTATATGATAGTATTTCAATTATCCAGTAAATCATGTTTCATTGAAATGTAATATAACCTTTTCGACTTCAGTCGTAATCTGTTTATAGTTAGTAACAGCGACTTCTTTACTTAATCGAGGATCATTTTCCAATAAATCATGACTACTTTTAATTTTCAAGTTAGGATCGTTATTAGCATCAAGTTCTTGAGCTTCCTCACCAAATGATAATAGTGCAATATTTCTAATAATAAAAGGTGGTAAGTCAATGAAATTTATTAAAAATTTATTTAAAGTTAAATTATTTTATACTTTTTAGGTTTTTTTTTGGGAGGCTCTTCTTTTAATGAAGTGGCAACAGTTTGGGCTAACGTCTCTTCTAAAGTTATACGTGGCACAATATCATCAAAAGGATTTAATACCACTTCAGTAGAAAGAATTTTTGGTGGATATAATGGCCGTTCATTCGCATCAGTTTCAAGTTCGCCAATTTTAATTACATTGAAGACAGTATCATCTACCACCTTTCCGAATATAGTATGTTTATTTTGTAATTCATCTGTTCTATCCAATGTGATAAAGAATTGACTGCGATTATCGTCCTTGCCAGAGTTAGCCATTGCAACAAGTCCTCTACGTACAAACCGAAGACGTGAATGAAATTCATCCTCAAATGGAACCCCATATATTGATTCACCACCTGTAAACAGTGAAAATAAACCAAAGAATCTTGAATGAATTTCCACACATTGAAAATTCGAATTTAAATAAATGATAAAAATTAATAATGATATAATACCGAAACCAGTCCCAGTCGGATCACCACCTTGAATAATGAAGCCAGGAACTACTCTTTAATCCCATAATGAATAAGTAGACAAAGTATTGCTTAGTTTTGAAGACTTTGAAGACTCTTGAGATACGAGGGAATCGGTAAATTTAAAACGTCCTACCTATGAAAAATAGTTGAATCATATTGTCCCTCTAGGGCCAATTGCACAAAATTTCGACATGCTTTAGGAGCTTCTTTTGCGAAAAGCTCGACGGCAATATCGCCACCAGTCGTGTGAAGAATGACTTTCCCACTATGGTTAATGAAAAAAAATTAGTTCTCGATTTTACAAAATCGCATCAAAAAATTAAATAAGAAACCTAGTATGCGGTTCTTGAATGTAGATATTACTCATGCTAAAATTTGTGGAATTCTCGGTTTTTTTTTTTTTTTGTGCTTAAAATACAGTATAAAGACCGGGAACTTTTCGAAGCGTGCAGTTAGTTTGTCACATGTTATTAATTAATCTTATTGGTTAAATCCACGATCACATAACTACTAGTAATCGATTTTGGCTAATTCATTCTATCTATTACTAACTTTATTAGTTCACAATTATTAACGTTAAACTAGCGTCTTTACGTTCATTAAGTTCATTAACAAACTCCATAAACTCTCAACTTATTATAAGTTTGGTATAGGATATATAGAAAACCATTATTTTTTTATTGAGTTCATTATGTACAGTACGATACATATGATACAAAGTCACGGAAAATTGAACCTATATCATTGGTGAAGACAATATATTTGATGATTGGAGAAATAATAAATTTAATAATTAAAGCGAAATTTTATTATTGGTATTACCAAAGAAAGATCAACATTTAAGATTCTGTTTTAAACTCATTGAACCTAGTATCGTAAAAATAATCTGCCGACACTGAAAAAAACTAAAAAAAAATGCCACCTTCACCAAAAACTCCACCTCAAGAAGCCCTATCAATATGTAAAAAATATTTTATAATAGGGTGCTTTTTTTTACCTTGGCTGTGGGTTGTTAATGTCGTTTACATGTGGCCTTTAACAAAACGAGAAGACATTGGTGCACAAATCAAAAAATGTATGTCATAATGAGAACTGTAAAGAGAAAATTAAATTCAACTAATAAAAAGCAGTTCTTTTTATCTAAACACTTCCAAACTAAAATATAACTAACATATTTTCTTTCTTATTGGTCTTCTGAAAACCAGATCTATACCTTTCAATGTTTGGAGCAATATTTTGGTTAATAGTTCTAGTAACTTGGTTAACGATTTTCGTCACAAACCGAGTTGGGTGGGGACAACTCGCTGACAGTATTTCTGTTGCCATTCCTAAAGGAGTTTAGTAGCGTATTGGTGTTAATTACAAAATTGTAAATTATAGCACATAGAGGTTAATTTTATTTCATTATATATATATATATCCTTTTTTTTTACACGTTTTTTTAATAGCATATGTCTTCAGCGTTACTTTTAATTTATCATAGACAATCATGTATATATGTACGTACGCACGTATACGACCCATTATACATTGTATTGCAACAGTTTTTGGGATTGAAACCAGTCATTCATCCGGAATTCGTTCCCACCAGGCATGGATTCGGGAAAAACACCAACTTTCTCTTGCTGCCTTGGTTTTAATCTATTGTGGTTGGTTTACACTTCGATTGGACGGTTGTGATGGACAATTCAGTCAGGGAATACTGCAATTATGGCGCAAATTTCGATTTTCCATTTCTCTAAAGAAAATTTCTATCGATGGATGTGTTATGATCCCTTTATTCTATTCCCTAAAAATTCAAAGAAATATTGTCCGAAAGGTTTTTTTTACAAAACAATAAAACGTCTGTTCCACATTACCTATCTTTTAATTTCTATCGACTGATTCCATACATTAAATAATTATGTTGCAACCATGAATCGATCCTTGAATTCAATGTTTCGCTCGCAGACCTGATCCGAGAATCGGATTCGACTCTGCTCCTACTCGAATTTGAATCCACATAGAAATTCGAACTGTCATATGTAAAATTGCGCTTATATCCAATCTGGGTTTGAATCTGTATATTTAAACACAGACCCAAATTCATACTTAGGCCCGATTAGAGATGGACGACTGCTAATACATATTACTTATTATCGTACTGTATATTAACGAACATTGCACCAAAATTTTTTACTAATAAATATTAATAGTGAAATTGATCAGATTTCATATAATTCAGATTGTATTGGTAATCATAATTAATCATAATATAATATCAAAAGTAAAATAAATAATAATTATACGACAGGGCTCAGATTCTATAATTATTATTTATTACTCTAGACCCGATCGAATCATATTCGGACCTTTAAAGTATCCGTCCAATTCGGTCCGTGTAGTGATGTCCCAATGATTGTCGTAACTTGATATTATTGTAAGCATTATAGCCATAACTTACCACTTATTATAGTACAAGTTATGACAATCATTACTAGAATTGATCTTGTTTGTGGTGCAATCTAAAACTATAGTTATAGTGAAGACCAGTTTATGCAGTGCAGACCGACAACTGAAATCCTTGTTCACAATAAAAAAAATCTTTTCAGAGAATAATAAATTTTTTTTAAAATAATTCTTAATAATAATGTAAGAAGTAATTTTATAAAGAGATTTCCTTCGTTTATTGAGATCGATAATTTAGGAAATTTATTTTCAATGTGCTACTTACTACGTAGCTTATGCATCATCTCTACATAGAATATTAGGTTCTTAAATTTCCTGCACCATACGTACGTACGTATAAAATTTATATTTAGATTTACATACAAATCAATATATACATATTTATATAATTGCTATATATATATGTAATATATATATGTATATTTAAAAATATGATCATTATTATTATAGAATTTATTTAATATTCACCGGTGGTAAATTCACTATCCTAAGGGTTTTTAGGGTTAGGGCGCAGTTTTAGGATAAAAGAAGAGTTTTATATAACATAATGTAGATTAGTTATAAGGTCCCGATTTCAGTTTACGTGAGGTTTTCAGGGTCCTGAATATTTTTACTTAGACTCCCTGACTTTAATTACTTAGTACGTTTTTGAGATACAGCACCACCAGTGAATTTCACCTCTGGTGAGCGCATATGGGCGGATTTGACTCCGATCATAAAAAATGTGATTATTGCAAATCCAACGTTGATTGGCTATTTTTTATTAA